CACCTCTTGTAAGTGCTACAAAGGAAATAATAAACAAGGAAGGATTTTAAAGCAAACAGGGTGTGAGTTTGAAGAACAGAATAAATAACACAGTCCTCGAAACAGATCCATATAGGATGTCCACAAAAAAAGTTTGGAAATGTAAGCAGGCAGAGGCAAGGAAATGTTAAATTTGATAAATTTGTCAGGCAACAAAATCCCACAGTTGGTTTTTATGGAAAGAATCATAAGCTCACACTTCACACAGGAGCAAATTGAGACTATTCCTTCATTTGAAAATACATAGAACTTCTCAGATTTTAAATTCTGTAACTTTTAATCTTTTAATTTTCAAAAATAAACTTTTAATTTCAAAAATTAACCAAAACATACTTTGGAAAATTCTCAAAAATATAATCCTTCATTTTCCCTCATTTTCCCTCTCCTTTAGATTTTGAAAATAATTTCTCAAAATAAAATCACATGGATAAATCAAAAAGACAGATATCATTATGTCCATTCTGTAGAGATTTTGCTAGTGTCCTACCCCAGCAAAAATCAAAGTCATCTCTTTATTCTGCCACATTGTATTATTTAATTTCATTAATCATATAACAGATGGCAATTGCTTAGTGTCAGATAGAGCTCTACTTTTACTGTTACCAAAGTGGCATTATGCTGTAATTTAGAAGTGATATTTGTCACAGGGCAATTTATGATGGCTCAGAATTTTTCATTTATTTCTCAATGCCTTGTCAAACCTCTGAAGCCYATAACAAATATTTTACTAGTGCATTCTGAGGATTTCCTAGAAGCATATAACTTTATTTAAATTACCTGTTTGAATCTTCTCCCTTCAGCAAAAGCCAATTGTATGTCCACATAAATATTTTTCCCTACATTACCATCTRCGAGTGTGCAGAGCAGTCAGTCTCTTTGTGGACAGTATTTCTCCAACAGATGCATCCTTTGTGGGTGCCTRATGCTGTCTCTCTGGCATGTCAGAGAAATCAGTATTTAGCAGTGAAATTGCCAAAGATGACTCTTAAGTATGTGACCTGTATGTGCACACATTCAGGGAGAGACACAGAGACAGCAGCAGGTCAGGGAACCTAAATAATTCTCTGCCCTGGTTACTCTGGGAGCCACCAGAGGAACCACCAACCCAAAAAAGACCCATCTCCTCAGAAAGGAACTAGGGAAAGTGGGGGAACACCAATAATCCCATCAGAGAAATAAGATCTCTCCCTAGACTGTCCCCAGACTGTCACAGGGGAGTGTCAGCCCCACGGGCCAAGCACAACAATCAGCACCATGGGGGAGCAGTTTCCTGGAGCTCCTCCCCGAATGAGGGTGTCACTGCCTAGGGATATGGGATGCAATATGGGATGCAGGAGAGGATTAYCTTGGGATTGCACAAAAATGTATCATGAAATGCTTAAGGAGGAAGCACAGGCAGGAAAAGGGAGTGATAGAGGCCACCTACTGGGTACATTAATTCTAAGGATGATTTCTAGGGGGCCTCAGTGTGTCCCCTATTGCTGGGTGCATGGAAGTGCGTCCATATCCACAGCTGGAGTGGTGCTGCAGCCTCAGGGCTCCTATGTCCCTGTGCCAAAAGCAGGGATGCAGGGAGCAACTACTGGGCAGACTGAGTGGCTGATCCAAATGCTCACTGAGGAGAGCCATATGGTGCACATATACATATATATACATATATATATATATATATATATATATTCCCACTAGCAGACTTTCACCCTGAAGAGCCAGAGGAGAACAGGATGAGGTTGGTGCAGTTTGTGTTTCTGTTGGTGCTGAGTTGGTGCCTGTGCTGGTCTGTGTGGCCAGCTGTGTGTATCTGCTTATGYGTGGGTTCTATAAAGGGGTTTGCAGGCATGGCTATCAGAAATACAAGYGCAGTCTGGCTATTAGTTGTACTGGAGGGTGTAGAGCTGCAGCAACCTCCCCTCTGTACAGCTACTGGATTTGGAAAGCCTAACCARTGACCAAGAATTAAACTTGCAGAGGCAAATTACCTAAGAGTTAGAAAAGGTAAGAACTGAAGGACTGTTCCACTCACTATAGTGTTTAATTGTATCACACACTAGGTTCCTCCAGACCCTTATGTCATTCAGTACAGTGGTAGTTTTTGRAACACCTTTCACTCTTCTCATTCAATATCTCACTCCAGCTTAGCAAAAGCAAACTTATTAGTTTGTCAAGGATAGATGAGAATATAGTTAACTATCAAGGACAGTTAATACAGTCCTTTACAAACCATAATGAATCTGCTCTGTAGCCTTGCCAGATTAGGAAATTGAAGACTGTAGCACAGAATCACAGAATCATCAAGTTGGAAGAGACCTTCAAGATCATCTAGTCCAATCATCAGTGTGGTCGAACTGATACCCTGATACTGATACTGGTTATGCAAACACAAAATCTATCTTTTMTAGCTATATTTATTAAGCTTTGAAGAGACATTTTTTTTTACAAGGGCAGAACTCAGAGATGCTAAACTAAAGTACTTATTTTCAACTAATGGGTATAACATTTGCCACTGTGCAGGTTGCCCTTATCTGCAGAGTCACTGTCACAATCTAGGAAGGAGACACGGGTGATCTGTGAATACAGAAATAATGCAAATGACTGAGACTGCTTCTTTTCTGTGAGGAAGGAAAAAGCTGAACTACTATCAACAACAGCAAATTACTGGTCTTAAACTTCACAAACACTGGTCTTCAGCAAAATCTTGACTACACATTCCTTTATTGTGAAAATTGAAAATTATTTGAAAAAAGGCTCTCACATATTATTACACTTAAAATGGCCTTCACCATCTGAAAACATTGTTCTAAAGATTTATTTCACATGGCCTATGTCCTTGGGAAACAACACTTGTAATCACTTTGCAAAGAGGTGCATTCAACTATCACTCCCCTACCTTGAAATTTTGTTTAATGAGGCCTGTCTTAAACAGTCTCAGCTCCCAGGGCTGTTTGCCAGCCCTCTCTGCATCCTAAGTTTTCATCTGCACCTGCCAAAAGTTTGATTTATTCGGGCATAACCATTTTCTGTGTGTGTAATCACTTTTCCATGAGCAGTCATAAAGACTTGAATATAACACTAGATTTACCTGGGCATCTGTTTTTCAGGGTTTTTAAAGACATTTCAATGTAATTTTTAAGTAATTTTAAATGCACAAAAGGGCCTTCTGACAGTGAGGATGATAAAAATCTGGCTATGACACAAGATAGGGAATGGATCTCCTGGAAGGCTTTGCTTTGTTCCCCATCTTCCCCATCCATTCCACAGCCAGGCACAATTGCATTCAAAAAGCTAAATACTAATTGTGTTCAGGCTTACATTAAACTCTTCTGATGGCTTTGGTGCAACAAAGAGCAAGGACAGAGTGAGGATCCTGCACTCTGTGCACATACCCAGAGATGAAAGTCTTTGAGAATGGCTCAATTTTAAAGCCTTGTTCCTCCTGCTCTGTGTATGACTATACACCATGTACTTCAGAAAGGGATAAAGAGACAGTACCTTTGACCATATAAAATCTCTGAGTTCTTGCTTTCATTTGCCCTGTTCCACAGGCAATTTTTTTTCCAGAAACAAAATGACTCCTATTCTAAAGCTCTTCGTGAATGCAGGGCTAAATGGCTCTCTCCTACCAATGAAGGACTGAAAATACTCTCTCTGGCCATGAAGCAATGCATTCTATCTACTAAAAGTGCCCATTAATAGCTCACTCGATCTTCTCCTTCCATTCCACTTTGGAAAGAAAAAAGGAAAACAAATTCCCCAGATCTATGCTTCTCAAAGTCCAATGACACTCCTTGCCCATTCTCTTCCTCCCCACAAATTATCAGATACACATCAAAGGAGTGTGTGGACAACTCTGCTCTTACCTGCCCTGGGCAGCACTGGTTCCCATTGCTTGTGGCACAAGCACACGGGAAGTCTTTAGACTAAAACGCCTGGGATTCTGCATCTTTCTTTTAGGTTGCAACTTGTTTCTTCTCCGCATCTGTCTCTACCACTCTAGAAATAGCAGGAGGTGCTCTGCACARGGTGAGTAGACAGAATAAGTGTTCATCCATGATGAAGCAGGAGGAGCAATCACTGCTACTCTATCTCCTTCCTGCTCACTAGGAGGTGTTTTTTTCTGCCTTACCAAGGTTCTCTTCTGATTTCATTAGWGAGACAGTAAGAGATCAGCCATCAGTCAGTCCTGAAGATGCACCTCTGTACTCACTTGGAACGAGTGATCATGAAAAGGTGCTGGTGCAAACAAGTGGTGTGTGAATCAACCACCCAGTAAAAATGAACTTACGGCTGAAGAGAATGGGTTTCATGTCTTTCTTATCTGGGTTACCACATCCGGTAACAATCACACCAATACCTAGGGGAGAGCATCCTTGAGATCTGAATAGAAGGTCCTCTGAAAACCCTGCAGATCCATGGGTTTCGAGTAATTTCCAAAGGACAACTGTGATCACAAACACCCTCCCAAAGTGTTGCCCTAAAGTTTACCACATTTTATTACAAGGTTCTGTTATCTCCATAATCACGGAGGACATCGTTTTRCCAAGATCCCTGACTCACTACGATAATCAGTCGCGCACCGATCTCCTCTCTGCACCGGCCTTTATCCCGCCAAGTCAGTCTCCTCCGGTTCTCTCTCTCCGGTATTTGCCGCCTGCGGCGATGGGGAAGGGAATGTTTTAAGCGCTTTGCCTTCAAGTGCCACCCGCAGGGAAGGGGAACACCGCCGGCGCGCCGCCCGCTGTCCCCGGCAGGTGCGCCCCAGTTACCGCTGGGGGCGGCCGCCACCGCTCCCCGCCGGCCAGGGAGGAGCGGCGGCGGGCGGCGGGCGCGGAGAGGCGGCTCCCGGCGCTCCTGCGGACACGGCCCCTCCTCCCGGCCCGCCCCGGCCCGCCCCGCCCGCCGCACACATGTGCCCGCACCCAGCGGCGGGGCGCGCCGTCGGGGCGGGCGGGCGCCGTCGCGTCCCCGACACCGCGCCAGCATCGCCGCGCGTCCCTCGGGCGCGGGGAGCGGGTGGCCGCGCTGACGCCGCTGCGCGCCATGGCTGTCGCCTACCTGCTGGGCAACGGGTCCGCGCCGCTCCTCGCCGGCGCCCTGGAGGTCCCGTTCGCCGCCAACGCCTCCGCCTGCCGCCCGCCCGGGCCGCCCTGCCCGGCCTGGGGCAACGCCTCGGCGGCGCTGGGCTGGAACCGCTCCGAGCCCTGCGCCGGCGGCAATGGCAGCGCGGGCGGCGGCGGGCCCTGCGCGCCCGCGGGCGGCGGCCCCTCCGTGGTCACCGCCATCGCCATCATGGCCCTCTACTCCGTGGTCTGCGTCGTGGGGCTCTTCGGCAACTTCTTGGTCATGTATGTCATCGTCAGGTGAGTGCCGCCCTGCCCCGCCCCGCAGCCCACGGCCGCTGCCGTCGGGGCGGAACCCCGCCGCGAGGAGCCGGGATGCGGGACGGGGACCCGGCGGGGATGCTGTGCTCCCCCTCCGGCAGGCAGCGCGCAAAGGGCCGCGCTGGGGGCGGAGGGGCGCCGGCCCCCGCGGGAAAGGGAAGGAGGCTTTTGATAAAGAGCCGGAGTGGGTGATCGGGGAAGAGAAACTTGCGGTTGAGCCGTGAGGGACGGCCGGTCCGTCAGAAATCGCTSCGCGTCCGAGGATATTGTAAGGACCATCCGTGCCGTAGCACTCTGCGAGCTGCTSTGGTCAGCGGGGCCTCAATCCCGCACCTGTCCCGTGAGGAGAGAGTGTTTGAAGGGACTGTAGCCACTGCCTGTGAGCGTGCACAGGTACGGGATGGCCCATGGACAGCCGGCACGCATCCACCTGKCTTTCCACCCACCTCTCCCAAATATATGAGCAAAATGTGAATGGCACCGCGGCTGAACGCTTGTCTATGCCCGTGTCTTGAGATTCTCTGCCTCACATCTAGATATGTATGTGTACACTGATATACATTTATATATGTGTATATATATGTGATATTATATATGTGTATACACACAGGTGCCTATTCACGTGTATAAATGCGTGTGCCATGATCGCCACCGCTGTCCGTAATCCCGGCGTTCCTTCTGTGCTGCGGCACTTGCAACTTTCTCGCCCGCAAGAGAAAAAGCCCCCGATAGGGCTGTTACAGATCAGATCACGCTCGATAAATCCATTGCCTTTAAATGAGCGGAAAACGAGTGAGAGGGAGATGAAAGAGGCTCCTTTGCCGGCCTGGTAACGGAGCGGAGCGGGGCGGGTGGCTTCCGTGGGGGAACACTGCCACCTCCCGGGAGCGCCGGGCCGGGCGCGACAGGAACGGGGCCGACTGAGCTCATCTCCCTTCGTGGCCGCTCGTCGTTTCCAAACCGAGCATCCCCTGAGCCCTGGAGAGCCCAGCGGGCGCATTTAAGAGGGATGGAGTTAACCCAGGGGCACGSTCYYTTCCTGTCGAGGCARCCSCAGCACTTCCAGTTTCCCCTCCCGSTCTGGAGCCGGGTCCGTTCTCCCTTTGAACGCTGCKTTTCCCGAGCTGTCGGGGYCGCCGCTGTGGGGCAGAGGTGGCCGCAGGAGCAGGAGCTGTCTCTTGGCATCGCTTGCAGCCCAGCGGCACCGGGTGGCTCTGGATGCAGCGCTGGCAGTGCCAGCTGCAGAAAGCCGGGGTGAGGGTGGCGGTCATGGTGGAATGGTGGTGGCGGTCACGGTGGGATGTTGCGGCAGGGTGGAGGATGTCACTGCACGTGTTAGGGATGTCACTGCAAACCTGTGCTTCTGGTAGACCTGGTAGGAGCACAAGTGATGTCCATCAGTGGTTCAGACTAGAGCAGTTCAGAAAYCTTGCGGGTTTAATTATGCTTTAAGAGGCTGCATGTACAGAGCTGGGAGATTCTCTTCTGTCCTGTGGATTTTTTTTGTCAATCTGAAACTCAAGCTGTGTGAAGATGCATCTGCAGAAAGGCTTCTGAGTGGGAGCATGACTGCAATCACTGTAGCGGTGTTGAATGCATTCCTCTGGGAGAAAAAGCAGATGCACAGTGTAACAGAGCCAGGATACCTGTCAGCACAGAAATATGCCACAGGTTGTCSTTGCAATTATGTATTTATTATCCTGGGCATAACCCTTACTAGGTTCATATTTCTTACAGTAATTAATTGAATTACACTTGCATCACAAAGCCAAATCGAATGAGGCACTTGTATTTAGATTTCTATCTAAAGAGAGCATCTTTCCCTGAGATGACAGCTTAAAAACAAAAGCCAGAAGCAATAGGAGAAAGCAAAAATATGTTTTCATTTTACAGAGGAAAATACAAATTAAATGGCTTGTCCAAAACAGTGAGAAATTCTATGGCAAGCCCCACATCTCCTGTTCAAGAGCAGCTTTTGGTATGACAGAATTCATTCCCAATTAATACCACACAGCTGTTTGGCAATTGGGATAAAAAAGAGTTTACATTCTATGGGCTGAATAGCATCTGTGGCTTAAGCAACATGAAAATACATTTCCTTTTTGTGCTTCTCTGTAGGTGTAGACTATCTGGTCAGCAATAGGGAACTCAATGATTTAGCTCCTGTTGCAAGCTATGCTAACATGACAGTGTTTCAAATCACAGAACATGTACCTATGAAATGGTGACCCCCTGTGCTCACATTCATGCATCCAACTACACATACRAGGCCAATGTTTTATTGGATTGAATTTGTCATCATATAAAACTCCCCTTCTTTATTTGCCTTTCCCATAATGCCTGTTCAGGAAGAGCAAAACATTGAACCTCATTAATTTTGAGAGGAATCAAGGCTACTATAAATTAAGATTTTTAAGTGATATTGGTATACCTAGTTTGATTTGAAAATACTAGGAGGTGGGAGGTAGGTGCTTAGATATTTGAAACTATGCAACTCACCTTTTGGAGTCCAGCCCCAGTGAAAGCAGCCATGACTTCAGATCAAGTGTGCTGCATGCTAACATTTCATGCTTGGTTTCTTTGGAAACACTTTAAAAATAATTATATTATTCTTCTAAACATTGTGACTCTTAAATCTTTTCCACATGAGGCAAATCCAGGGGTTTGGAGTCAGAGCCATGCAAGTTCTGGCCTGGCAGAGAACTATCACTGTCACTCCACAATGCCACCCTGCTATCCCCGCTGGGGCAGACAGAGGTCAGAAAGCAGACATGTCCCAAAAGGAGTTCGACACAAGTGTGTTCTGATTATTGTTCTGTGATATGAAAAGAGGGGTCTCCATGCAAAGCAGATCCGTGGATTTCCAATTTATACACATTACTTTGTAATTAATGCATTCTCATCTACCCTCCTCATTCTTCCAGATGGTTCCTGTTCAGCTGAATGCTTTCATCCTTGAATTAATATTTACATGTTTTATATGTAGTGTGGGAGGCTTAACCTCATGTTACTGATACTGAGCTGTTTCCTTTCTCAAGTACCAAAAAAATGCCTTCAAGTGACAGCTGTAATACTTTATCAGGTTTTACTGCCAGCCATGAATTCCCTGTAATCTGAAAAATCGGTAGATAATTTTTATTACGTATTTTCCTTGTGTGCTTTGTGTAAGTGTAAATTACTAATATGAACACTGTGTTGTTATGGCTGTATCAACAACAAATGCTACTTTTAGCTGCTGTGGAATACAAGACAGTGTACAATTGGTGCCATGTGRCATTGAATTAATTTACACAGTAATCCAAAGGCTTTTGCAGCTTTCTCATCAAGTCGGTGGGATATTAATCTCACAAATAAGAGTGGAAACAAGAATATCCCTTGTGATTAAGGCAATATGCTAGAAAGCTGTAATATATCCTAGATGAAAATCTTGGGCATCACAGGTCTGGAAGACAGGAATAGCTCACAGAGGCTGCAGTGCTCCACAATTCAAATGCCCTGGGAGGACTGTAATTCCACCAACAGCCACTGAAGTCACTCAAGTTCAGAGTGATTCCTCAYTTATTTTGCTATAAATTTTGTCACATATCATAAACAAAAGGGTCCCTGGTCCTCTGATCCTTTGCAGAGGAAGGAAATGTCTTATGTCATTGAGTTAATGATTACACTGCTTTAATAAAAAATTAAAAAGGCAAAGAGGGAAAGAAGTTGAAGTCCTCTCTCTGAAATTAAGAGAAATCTCTCTGCGTGTCTCAAAACAGTCTCTTACCACTGTTTTTAAAAAAATGAGCTGTCACTGAAGTATCATCGAATCTGGAAAGACTATGCAGCAACTGAAAGCTCTGTTCAGCTTTCTCACAAGCATTTTCTACTAAAATGTTGAAATTGTAATTGTAGAAATAATCAGTATCACCAGAGGAATAAATATTCTCACACATCTGCACAGAAGTGTGGAGTCTTTTTAGAGAAAAAAAAAATCTGAAAATTATCACAAGCTCAGAAGTGGCTGAAACAAAACAAGTGTTTCTGAGAARTGGGTTCCTTGCAAGTTGAYGTGGTGTTRTGGCTGCAGTATGTCAGGCAGCCTACAGCATCTTTTGTGGCACTATAGATCAGGGAACTTAGGAATCAAGAAATGCATAAAATTCTTGCTTTTCTTTCCTGTTCACAGCCTCATGAACTTCTCTGCATTTGCATGCATTGCCTGTGTGATTGTGTGTCCTGCCTGTTCCACTGATTGCAAAAGTTCCACCCCCACGCTGAGAGCTGAAAGCCTCAGCAGCCTTATCCAGTCATGTCAATTATGAATTAATACAGCTCACAGCACCAGCCAGAGAAGAGCTGGGGACAGAGCAGAGGGAGCCCTGTTGGGCAGGAGCAGCAGAGGAGCTGAATTAAATCAGCAGCAGAGCAAGGGGGTGACCCTCAGCATCCTGCCTGACAGAAAGGCAGGTGTCCCTGTTTGCATACTGTTTGTGACAGAGTTTACCAACCTTTGCTAGTGGGTAAATGTTTGACTAGCAAGCTCCTCTCCTTTCCCCTTTATGTGTCTGAAAGCAGACAGATAAAATGRAATGTATACCTTTGTATTCTCTCTTTTTCTTTCCTTTTTTTTTAATTATATTTTACAGACATGGTCAAAATTTGACAAAAGATACATGAGGCTGCAACCTGAGGGTAACACTGAGGAAGCAGAGGTGCCTGAGGGATGAGTGAGAGCTCTGCAGCCCCAGACTCATCTCCAGACCTTGTGCCTGGCCCCAGTCCCAGTGGAGTCCTACACACAGGACAGCATCCCAGGGCCAGGTGTACAGACCCTCTGGCTCTRCCAGTGCCAACCACTGGGCAGTTCTGGGCAGAAAACAACCCTTCTCACTCAATTTTTATTAAAAAAGCTGTTTGATCCCACTGTGCTTTKCCTGGAGTACCACTATGGTAATGGCTCTCATGAAAAAATAGTGTTAAACACTTCCTGATTTTTTAAAAAAATTCTTTATAAAAATAATCAAATTTTACTGACTTTTCATGACTTCAGTAAGAGTAGAAAATACTGTATGCACATATTGCTTATATTAAGTAATTATTAGCAAGCTAATGACTAATGAGTTATTTGGCTAACACAATCCTGAAGTACTGTTTTATTTCATTTTAATTTAGAGTGTTTTTCCAAACCATCAAGCATGACTTGAGYTAATCATTGTGGATAAGCTTGTGTAACTTTTGTACATAAAAAGGTGATGTATTTGCGAAAATCTCAAATGTAACATGATGCAAGCCCAAATGTCTCAGAATCACAATTTAGCTTTGTAGCCTCTTTTCCAGCCATAGGCAGCAGTTGGTGTTTAATCACAGTGTGGAAGAAATAGGGGCAACACTGGGTGAGTATCCTCCTAAGAGACTTTTAGACTGCAGAGGGACTTWCTGAGCTGCAGTTTGCATCAGCATTCATTCAGTAGCTTTTTGTGGACATTTCTAACATGCAGAAATCCCCCAAAAAATGAGGATCAAAAACAAGAGTGGAAATAAAAGRTCACAAAGATTGCCACTTCTAAACAAAGCTGCCTTGAAACAAATATGTGAAGCATTTTTTAAAGATTCTAAGTTGGTTAATTTTAAGCTTAGGTGCTCTGAGATGGTTGTTGTAGAGATCCTCATTAACAGATATTTTGAAAAAAAATCTTTTATTTTCATGATGATTCCAAGTGAAAACAAGTTTTCAATGCTTGATAAGTCTTTTCAAAATACAAATCCGCTCTTGGTAACTATATTTTTTAAAAATCCAGAGGCAACTATTTTCTGAATTGTTATACTTAAGCTGATCTCTAAGAAAGCTCTTTTTATAACCATCTGTGTCTTCTTTGGTTTACATAATGAAGTTTCGGTTTATGGTTTTGAAAGTGGGAATATTATAATTATCTTTCAAAGACCCCTAGTTCCTTTTGGAATTGGGCTTTTAATGGTGTTCACTATGAAGGAGTTCCACAGTTTAACCGATCTGTGATAAGARGCATTCTCATTCATCCATTCAATGTTAAACACTTCTAAATTTTATTTATATTTCTCTTTGAATTTACGTGATGAAAAAAGGTAGGGATGACACACCATAGCTAATCAAATAACTGTGAAGTACATGAAATAATAGATTTTTTCCACCTTCCCACTGCGAAGTGTTCAATTATCAGCTATAAGATCTTGTATCTCAGATCAGGAATAAAACTTCAGAACAAAAATGTTTGTGAAAAATGGAACATCTCCTCCTTATCTTGTTGTGTGGAGCAGTTCCAACTGARTGATGCCTCTTTTTTGCAGGGGGAACAGGGAGCAACAGTGCTAATCTTCAGCCCTGGGATGTGCTGCCTCTATAGAAAAATCATCTAAGGAGACATTTATCCAAATTGTTCTAATTTGATTGTGGTCTTAGTAACTCCCTCAGAGCCCCAGTTTCAGACACAATCTCATCCTTGTCATGTAGAGACTGAGTCCATGATTCCCAGTACTTTTGATTTGGTCTCTTCACATAGCATAACTGTTCTCCTTCTTCATGTCATGCCTGCTTCCACCATTGCCTGCTTTCCCTTTTCCCCACATCACAGGCAAGCCTTCCTCCACATTTATTCTCTCTAGTTCCTTTGTCTCACCTCTGTCACTCCTTTCCAGATCACACTCAACAGCTTCACCAGCAGATCCCAGTCTCTTGTATGAGAGGCCATACCTTGTACACCCAGCTGGTGTCACTTTGACCTGTACAGTGTGTGTGGCCTTTCTTCCAGCCCCACGCCACCTCCCTGTGACCCTCTGGCCAGGTGGGATTGGTCACTGCTGTCYCTACCACACCTTTGAGGACCTCACATCTACTTGCATTAAGTCTTCAGAGGCTTCCCTGCAGCTTCCCTGCTAACCAGGGATGTTTCATGTACAGTCCTTATCTCAGGTGATCAGTCTACAAATCAGGAGTCAGGTACCAGCACCTGGAAACAGGACAAAGTCACTGATAACCTGTCCCCTCTAGAAAAATGTCACCACAGTTTATCAGAGATGTAGTCAGCAGTTTTACTCTCAGTCACACTTCCCTGAAGGCAGAGGCGGGGGAAGTTAAATTGAATATACTGACAGTTTTCCTTTTTATGTCTTCCTAGCAAAGCAAGAGCCTCAGCAATAAGCACCTGCTGCTGGATAATGGTAATATATTGAACTTAGCCTTTTTGGCACCATTGATTTATTTCAAAGAGATTTGTTACACAATAACCATGAAAGCAGCGACCTTTATTGGCTGCCCATATATGCCTCAGCGCCAGGCAAACAGAGATGCAAATAAAATTGGTTTGACAAACAGGCCAGATTAAGTTCTGAAATAATTGGCAGGTAATTTTCTCCCCATTTAACTAGACTGGAAGGAAGTGTACCAGCAGATGACTGTTTGGGCACTGGAGCATGCATATTACTGTCATTTAATTTTTATCATTAAGTAGCTTTTTATGATGTCTGGGAAAAGGAGAAGGAATTAGGGTAATGGGAGTTAGAAGACATGGCAACATGTTAAATATTTTTGCAGCAAGTGATTTATCTATACCTGTTCTTGTCTGGTTCTCCACCCTTTTATGAAAAAAAAAGTATCCCATCAGCTTTTTTTTTTGGTGTGGATTTCTGCCAGGATATTTTTCACATTCATGTGACTTGAAAAGGCATGAAAATAATAAGAAATCATAATCACCGGTTATGACTACTGTGAAGTTTGTGTGTTCTGTCTGAAGTAATCTCCTTGCTTGTTAATCCACTCAGTCAGACATCAAGGGAAAGAACCAGCCTTCTTCCTGAAAATGGCTGCTTTTCCCCAAAAAAAAAAAAAAAAATGCTTTTATTTTGTCTGGGCAGGGACTAAACTCATTACCTCAAGGTAAATAGCAGAAAGAGGACTTCTGTGTGATGCCTTTTGGTAGCAAAAAGAAAAAGCAGGAAGAGTCACACAATGACAGCAGCAAGTAATTTTTAGTCCAGAGCCCAACACAGGAAAACAGGATGAGTCAGATGCCCTCCCAACACTCTTGGTGCCTCATCATTCCCCAAAAGACTGGCACTGAGTCTAAAGGTGACTCTGCCTAAAAGGCTCTTGTTTAGCTCATCCTCTCCCAAAGCTGAGGYATGAGAGAAATTTGTGCTGGGTTCTGAGTACACAAGAAACAGCCCTGAGCTGGTGCTGCATCCCAGGGGGTGAGGTGCTCTGGATAAGGTTTGCTTCTCCTGCATCCTGTAAGCAAATACTGCTGGAACTGCTCATGCCTTGGCTCTGTCCTGKTGTGAGGAAAGGATAAGCTGGGAAGTAAAAGGTGCTAACAAGGTAACCCAAGGGAAGTCAACTCTGGTGACRTTCTGGCTTATTTGTGCTGTGGAGGAGAATAAAGTGGAAAAGGATCTTGGCAGTGGGAGAACAAATTTTTGGGGAGAAAAGAGGTAGCAACTGAAGCAACTGCAGTCCAGCAGCTACCTGCCCTGTGCTCAGGTCYGCGCTGACCACACATACACTCAAACTCCTTCAGAAAATAGACATTGCCTTGGCAGTGAGTGAAAAAAGGAGAGAAAGGGTGCTCCAGCACAATGTGTGTGAAGTATGACCACATATGTCAAATAATAAAATCCTTTGATTTTAAATCTGCTGCACTCCCTCAGTACGTCACGACTTGACACCTGAAGTGATGCCTAATATTTTTCATCTCTCTAATTGACTGGTTAGCACTGTGCTTGGAGTCAGGATGCAAGACTTCAACAGGAGGGAACAGCAACTGCCTTCTTTGTCTTTTTTTAAGGCAGTGAAAGCTTCTTCACTTCCCCCATTTCAGCYTTTACCCTCAGACTCGGGATGGGTGCAGGAAATAAGTGAATGTGATGCAAATTGCACAATTTCATTGCAAGCATGCATGAACGCTTTCAGCTCTAATGTTGTACCTGCTTGAGGGTTTTTTTTCAATTTGTTCTTGGTCTGGTTTCGTTCAAGGCTTACCATGTTTAAATTACAGCCTTGTATATGATCTCTTCAGTAGAACATACATCGAAAGGATGCAGGTTGTTAACCACAGGATGGCACCTCAAATCTGGATGTCTGGGTGTCCTTACTGCCTAATAACTTATCAGGGTTGCACAGAAATTTATGGTGCTTGTACCCAGTGATGAAATTTAATGGCTTAAGTAATAAATATTCAGAAGTACTCATGAATAGAAAAATCAAAGACTGAAGTTTACAAGCTGATTAAATCATGTGCTCACAGACAGAAGGGCTAGAATAGATATGACTTCAAAACTTTTAATAGGTTACAGCCTACCACAGCACAAGTCACAGCTGTGGCTGAGATASAGTGCAGATCTCTCACTCTATAGGGACCCATTACCATGTGAAGAAAGAAAAAGGACAATAARATAGGATGGACACAAGTAAAGTCCATCATTTGAGACCCTTTAGTTCAAAGATGCTTTCCAGARTATTTCTTGAGATGCTTCTTTTCAGTGTCAAATATACTAATTGGATTGGCAGACGGAAAGATTTTGAGGGTTTTTACAGACAACCTTGATATGYTGTGACCTTGTTCAAAGCTTTCAGCACTCAACTAAAATTAAAAGTACCTGATATCTCAGGAAAACATGCCAAAAAAATCCCTTCTTTCTACTGTTCTTGAGTTGCAGATATAAAGTACACCAGAACAATTATGGGGGAAAAAGAATTAATTTCAATTGATTTGACAAGGCATACTTCACATGTTTCTATCTTCCCACCCARTGCGACCTCAGCTAATCTAATGTATGCACATAATGATTCTTCATTTGTTTAACAAGTCATTTATGCAAGAAGAACATGAATTTGAAATGCTAACTTAATCTCCTCCAGCATCAACAAGAGTTATGTCAGATTGTCTGTTGGCTGTTGTTTCTTTCAGCAGCCAAACCGTTTTTGAGAGTGATTGCTTTCTGCAGTGAATCTCCAGTGATTATCTCCAGTTTTTCWTGTATTTTGTGCTGAACTTAAACACAAATCTTGAAGTTGTCTCTGTCCCCAAATTAGCATGCTGTAGGCAACACCTTGCACACCTTTGTGTTGCTGAAACCACTTATGGGCAGTCTATCATCGACCAGCCAATTTCCTAAATGCCAAAGACTATTTCTKCTTTCCTCCTCGCTGATGTTATTCAGATAGGAAATTTTTCTAATTAATTTGTAATGGTATGTATTACTCTGAGCTGTATCATCATCATCAATACTAGTAATAATAGTAATAATAATAACAATAATGATTATGATGATGATGATGTAGCTGTATTATTATAATTATTGTACTCTGTATTACAGTGAACTAAATGTGGATAACCTTCTGTAGCTTCTTTGCACCAGCCCAGTGATGCAAGGATGCTTGTAAAACTGATCTGGTTCCGAAAGGCAGAAGGCTCTGGAGGAGGGGATATCTCAGCAATCCACATGGATGAAAACCACTCGGCCAAGGAGCAGCTGGGACACAGCTACATTAGTTGTATAGACTATGATAATGATATACAAACTCTGTTTTACTTTGCTTTGGCTTAAATAAAATATGATGCAAACTAAAGATTTCATTAAATTTTAAGAAAATATATGATCTTCATGTTATTTGTTCATTACTTTTGAGTCATGGAAGCTTAAAAGAAGAGACTCGTAAAAAATGTTTGAAGGTGTTAAGGTGGAGACTGAACTATCAGAGTGGACAGGGCAGAAACAGGGCCATGGCAGGTGTCCTGCAGAGAGRGTCACAAGCATGCTCACATCTCTCCTGTTGCATGGGAAGTGCAAGAGAAGGTGCTCCTGGCTCCTTTCTGCACGGGAGTTGGAGTTCTCTTTGGTTAATCTGGTGAAAGTTTTATTTGGTTTGCAAATTACAAGTGGCCCATGAGCAGCCAGTTGAGGGGTCCATTTCAAACCTTTCTATCAATCCTTGAATGCTGGGTGGCTCTCTGAGCTGAATTCTCACTCTTTTCTCCAGTGCTTTTTCTTATTCCAAGCAAATCCYGTTTGGGTGGACCTGTACACCTCAGGTCTTCAAATTTGAAGTCTCTTTTAAAGCTTTGTTGGATTGAAAATAAAGACAAGGCTGAGCTTTCCCTAAAAAATTAGAAAGACATAAAATATATTCTTACTGTTGTAAATCTGATTTATCATCTATCATACCATTACCAACAAATCAAGTCTTCATTAACAGGAATTTTGTGATAAAAAACCTTCACTGAGGAGTTAGTAGGGGTATACTAGTGGGTATCGGTTATTATAATGAGCATAATTTAGACATGTATCCAGAGCAGTAAATATTCACAAAAAATACCTTTAATCATGTTCTATTAGTCCTTTCATTGCAGAGTTGTAAAATAAAAGGCCGCCCAAAGCCAGCTTCTGTCTTCRCTTGCAATCTTGCTTAAATTTTGTCATGCAAAATTTAATATGTTTGGTGTTTTAGGCACTGAAATTCCAATATAAACTAAATACCAGTATCCAGATTTTAATGAGTTTGCAATTAAAATTCTTTCTTTACACATCTGTAAATTTTTTGGTTCTGTAGTGGGTTTGAATGAAAGTGTAAAAGCACTATATTAAAAGATTGCATTTGTAAACAAAACTTTTGGTGTTGCTAAGTCCCTCTCAAGTATAAAGATCTCATTGCATATACATCTATGTCTGGATAATGGACATATTTGTTCTGCTTGTTCAAATAAGTACACTGATACTTTAGCAAAAGGTATAATAACAGCTAAGATCAAGACTTTGAAAATATCATTTTTGATGGACCGTTACTTTTCATGCTGTTAAAATTACATTTAATCAATTCCTTCAGTATTTGTTTGTTCGTGCCAAAAAAGAATCCTGGGGACACCAATAATCTACTTATTTGGAAAAATACATGTTTTACAAAATGTACCTTTCTGACATAAGCCCCTTATAAAATCTTTAAATACTCAGTGCAGAGAAACACCCAAATACCATACAATTTACTGAAAAGAATATTGTAAGTTTCAATAGGCTTTTGTTGATTAGGCAATTGTGGAGGTAAATGCTTTCTATCACCATAAAAGCTCTGCTTCTATTCATTGTAAGAAGAACAGCATGATTAGAAGCACAAAGATTACAGAGTACATCAAGCAAAACCCTTTATTAATGGTCTGTAGAGGACATTAAACAAAGTAAGTCCAAGAACTTTTGAGCTTGAACTGAAAAGTAGATAGCAAAACAGAAAAATRCATAGCATTTAAGTGGGATGAGGCCCATTCCCATTGAAGAAACTTTATTCTATTTATTCTATTCTATTTATTCAGGGCTTTTTTTCTGTCCATCCTCTGTCATGCTAACCTAAAAGTCACTTATGTATTGATTGATTTTTTTTTCCCTCTGTGTCTAGCATTCCCTTTAAATCATAATGGCTTTGATTACTGATACCAAAACACTGTCGTTGTTATCTGACAATGCACTCTCCAGGCTGAAGAGTACCAGCATCTTGAGGGATGGCAGCAGCGCTGAGCAGCAGTCCCGAGTGTGTTTCCTTGTCCAGCCATAAAGATAAGGCAGGCAATCACCTGAGGGCTGAGCAGGGATCAGCAGCCTGGGTGAGGGCACAGAATCGTCATCACCTTTCCCTGTCTGTGCAGASCTGAGTGTCATTGTCCCTCTGCCACTGTCCCTGCCTGAGCAGATCAGGTGGGAGCAGGTCAGGTATGTCTGCTCTCGACACAAACCTTCAGGTTAGCTCTGGATACACCTTCAGCTACTCCTGGATATGTCAGACCTATGGAGAGACATTCATTTTGATAAACCATGGAGCTTAGTATTGGATAATAGTAAAAGCAAAATAAAAATGTTGCTGCTTTCATTCTCATCTGCAAGATTCTCTGGCAAATTGCCCAAGAAATATTTTCCTCCTTCCCTCCAGTTTTTACAGCTGTAGCTTTTATTGTGTACCTCTTCCACACTTCAATCCTGTACCTTTTTTCCAGTTTTCAGAAGAGAGAGTCATGGATGCCTGCAACATCTACCTCCTCCCATGTTAGTGTTACAAAGTTGTTAGATAAATGGAGTGAGGAAAGATTTTACAGGACTTTGAGAATATGAGAATTTATTTACAACTTAGTAGTATCATATTCAGATCATGCTTTCTCAGTAGTCAAGATAGAGTTTGAATCTATTTGAMAATCTGTTTTTAAAAAGCACCCTAAATTGATATTAGGGTGATTAGTGGCTCCTCATGCAGTGCTAAAAAATGAAAGAACAAATCCAATACCAGTGACTTCAGATGTTCATCATAAAACAGATCCATTCAGCATGAAGTCGGCATTTCTGCACACCCTACCAAAAAGAAGTTCCAAATGAGTGTTGCCTACACAATCCTTTCCTTGGGATTTTTTTGCAACTGACTCATGTTCTGAAGAGATCTAACTCAGATAAAAACCATTAAATACTGTATTTTACATTTTGTCTTATTTAGCAGGTATCCTGACATATTTTCAAGTGGGCTATTTCTCTTGATTAAACTCTCCACTTATTAGTTTTGCAGAAACAGAAGAAAGTTTCATCAAAAGAGCAAGCCATCTGACCCAAAAAGCCAAGCAGCCACAGTGCCCAGAACCTCGACAGCAATCAGGGCAGAATGGCCAGGAACATTACTTAAATCAAAACATACGTTGTACCACTGCAAAAGTACTGCATCCGTATGGAAAGTGGGTTTCAAGTGCTGCTCACTTAGAATGAAATCATTATTACTGCAACCTACAAATTAATTTTCTGTTTCTACAGAACATGGTTATGATATTTAGCATGACCTTAGCAGATACAGAAAATCTATCCATGCAGTGCAGTATCTGATACGTAAAGACAGAATTTTTTTTCAGCTTCTCAATTCTTTGGCATCTATAACATTGTTTCTTCTATGTCTTTTCCTTCTACACGAGTTAAATTGATCTTTTTTTCTTACACCCTTTAGCTGATRTCTTACTGAACTGCCAACATGTAGGTGGATCATGGCAAGATCGTTTAGTTAAAAGCAGTAAATGTTATCTTTGACAGCATCTGTCACATTATTTTATAGAAGTTTATTATAGATGATGCATTGAATTCAGTTTTATGTAACGGTGTCAGTTGTGGTCATTCACATGCTCTGCCAATTTTTTTCCTAGGTACACGAAAATGAAGACTGCCACCAACATCTACATTTTCAATCTTGCATTGGCAGATGCCCTGGCGACAAGTACTCTGCCATTTCAGAGTGTGAATTATTTGATGGGAACATGGCCATTCGGTACCATCCTCTGTAARATTGTTATATCCATAGACTACTACAATATGTTCACCAGTATCTTCACGCTCTGCACMATGAGTGTGGATCGCTACGTGGCTGTTTGCCACCCAGTTAAGGCCCTCGATTTCCGTACCCCCAGAAATGCCAAAATTGTCAATGTGTGCAACTGGATTCTCTCCTCTGCCATTGGCCTGCCGGTTATGTTCATGGCAACTACTAAATACAGGCACGGTAAGTCTGGCTTYCAGTCCTAAACTGAGCATTCAACATTTTAGCTCCTTTCTGCATCRTTTCACTGTAGTGTAGAAGAATTAACATCTGTCTCCAGCCAGTATAAAATGAGTATCAGTGCAATTGAGCCCCTTCAACAGTTTTGCAGCTGGCTCCTGTGGGTCTGTGCAAGTCTTGCTGTCCGCTGTGATTACTGTAGAGTTTGGAAAAGCATCTGTGCCTGCCTGCCTTCTGCTGTGGGGCAGTTCTGCATTGCCCTGCAGCACAGGAGCCTGCTCTTMACCCAGGATATTCCCACTGGGAAGCTGGCAATCATAGGTATTGTACACCTTGTCAAGACATGATACAGAGCAGCAGCACGTTCTGGATCTCTGGCACTCCAAGACCTTCCATGAAGGGACAGTGACAGTGTGTCAACACAAATCCACMAATCCAGACCACCCACAGTGCAGTTACCAAGTGTTGTGTCATTCTCCTCCCCATTGCCCTGAAAAGCCCAAACTTTCAGCATTATGATGGCTTAACAATCTTTCTTTTCACCATCTTTTATATTGAAAGTGAAAATTAGTCAAAGTTTAAGCATTTGTGACAATTCAGCTCTTTTCCTTGTTTAGTGAACATTAAATTTCAAGCCATAAAATGCAAAAGAGAACATGTTAATTTGTTGGGGTGTTTTTTTAACTCACTTCATGCATGTTTTGCTGTACTCTGTCCTACCAATGTTTGTGCAAATGACAGGTCAGAGATTGCTTCATTTTACRTGTTTACTTAGGTGTAAAGTCTTCATATATTTGCCTGTGATATTTAATTAAAGACAGGTTTAAAGGAAAGCAAATGAAAACTRACCTGCACGTTCTTCTCTGCTGTATTCCTTTTCCCCAGGCTCAATTGACTGCACACTTACGTTCTCCCACCCTGCTTGGTACTGGGAGAACCTCCTGAAAATCTGTGTGTTCATCTTYGCCTTCATCATGCCAGTGCTCATCATTACCGTGTGTTACGGGCTGATGATTTTACGCCTGAAGAGTGTTCGCATGTTGTCCGGCTCCAAAGAGAAGGACAGGAACCTGCGGAGAATCACAAGGATGGTCCTTGTAGTGGTGGCAGTGTTCATTGTCTGCTGGACTCCCATCCACATTTATGTTATCATTAAAGCCCTGGTCAACATCCCAGAAACTACTTTCCAGACTGTCTCCTGGCACTTCTGTATTGCTCTAGGGTACACAAATAGCTGCCTTAATCCAGTCCTTTACGCGTTTCTAGATGAGAATTTCAAAAGGTGTTTCAGAGAGTTCTGCATCCCCACTGCCTCAACCATTGAGCAGCAAAACTCCACCCGAGTCCGACAAAACACTCGTGACCACGCTTCCACTGCCAACACTGTGGATAGGACTAACCATCAGGTATGACTAGCGGTGGAGATGTCATCTCTGGATGCAGGCCGCCCGCTTGGAGATGACATGTGTTCTGAAGTTACTGCTTACACTGATTTGTAGCTGGTGGAAGGCCCTGAGCACCTTCTAGGTTGTATTTGAAGCTGGTGTGTGCATGCACGGAGACCCCAGTCCTGCATGGTGCCAGTTGCTCTCTGCCCTGCTTGATGCTCAGAAGCYGAGGGTTCCAAAGGCACCTTGGGTGACTGGGTCCAGCGTGCATGCATGTACAAAGCACATGAAACAGCCTTTCACKTGCAGGATGTTTACAACAGGCTGAAAATTAATCACAGATTCCTCTGTTCATACTCCTTGTCTGCTGGTGGAGACAGGAGTGGGACAGAATACAGATCTCTCTTCTTCTCCCATTGCAACAGTGAATAAAAAGAGAAAAAAACTGTGCTTATTCACTTTTGATTGATGTACAAAGAAGGTCARCCTGGCCTTGTTTGTGCTGAAAGACATACAGACCAAGGCCTGTCTACATGCCGTTCTTGTATCAGACAATGATGTGGAGAATAAGGTGGGGTTAGTTATGTATATAGATATATGTATACATATATAAAGATCAATGTGCCATTTTGCCRTTTTAGGTATAGCAAGAAAATACCTTTTCCATGTAGAAAAAAGCCTTTGATTTTGTGGCACATCCGATAACAAAAGAAGGAGATTTTTTTTTTTATTCAGCCTATTTTTGCATAGTTTTTTCAAAGAAGCTCTTTTCTACATGTTCAGTATCCATGACCCTGTGATTAGTCTTGAGAATTTCCAATCCCCATCCCTCAGCAAAACATGAAAGCAAATCTTAACATTCACAAAAGTAATTCAAGCACATCACAAACACTRCAAGAGGTTTGAGTTGTCTCTGCAATTCCTTAAAAATAAGAGCAAAWGGCATAAGCCTGGTTCATTCCTTGCCATATCACCTTTCAGCAATATACTTGGGTGGCTCATGCACCAGTTTCTCACTGCTGCCACTTCAGCCACAAGCTGGCTGCCTCCTCGAGGTGCAGAACTCAGTGGCTTCTTGTGAAAGCAGCTGCCCACCTGCCACTCAGCTGGTGCCAGATATTCCGAATCAGAGTATTCCCATCTCCTTGCAGACTAAACAGTAATTGCACCAGAAAAGAGGAGGGAACAGTCTAAAGGGAGAAGGGCTAAAGTCWTATATTTCATTAAGCATCAGCAGTTGGTATTGTTGTCCACTGTGGCCATACTGTGGCCTGCGAAATTGTCACCTGCTCAGTGTGGTGGTGAAGCAGAACTGCCAAACATGGCACAGGTGCACACATATATTTATGTATGTATATATGTGTAGTATTTACTAGATGTAGCAAATTATGAGATTCATCTGTTAATAATGCATTTGTAACCCTTAATGGAGTCAATTCTGTGCATGTGTCTGACAACAAGATTGCAACTGTACAGTTCCAGCTTTTTAGAGTGCAGTGTGAATGCACCCATTTTCTACATTTGATTATRTATCTTTATATTATGTTTAGGAGAGCTGTAGCCTTCTAAACTTCTACCCATAGAAAAGATGAATGTGATACTGCCCAGAGGCTGAGGGAACTGGAGTCTGTTTCCCTGAGCACTGAGCAAACACAGAATAGAAGGTGATGCTTCCCACAGAGGTGTTTCAGCCTACTCCAGCAAGAGAGACAGCAGCAGGGATGGACCAAGCAAGTGAAGGGATCTTGAGAGGGCAATAAGGAGGAAGCTGGTCTCGTAGTTGGAGTCTTTGTTGGTCAGGGTTTGGTTTACATTCAGGCTCAGTGATGAAATTAGTTATGAGGAAATAAAGTACCTGAGAAAGGAAGGGAAAGGGAGGTGAGAGGAAGAGTGCTGAGGAGAAACAGAAACATAAGGAATGAGGTCCAAGTGAGGCAGTAAGGATGGAAACTGAAACAAAAGAGCTAATCTTTGGATTGGATGGAACAAAAAAGGTGCCTGCAGAGCTGGAAGAAATTGTTTGAATACTTAGGTAGCTCTTCCCAGGAGCAAACTGTCAGTTTTCCCCAGAGCCAGGGATAAGAAGACAACACTTGCAAGCTCAGGTCCTCATAGGTGGGTGGACAGGTCTCCCCTTTGGTATTTGAAAGAATTTGGAGTGGCCAACTTCACTTCCCTCGCCACCATCCCTGCAGTCCTGGCTTTGGCAGCTGCTGATGCTGCCATTGGTTTATTCCTGCCAGATTTGCTCCCTGAATGCTGACCTGAGCCTTCTCCCTGGAGTCCAGCTCAGCAGCTTTTTGGTGCAGTGTTTCTCATTCTCCACAATGAATATAGAATACATTCACAGCAAGCTATGTTCAAACTTAATATTAGTTAATCTTTTTTTTCTCCAGCAAACGTTTCTGTAAGTGGTATTTTTTAACTAATATACACTAAAAGGGTTCTCTGGAATAGTAATTACAAGTGTAATATCTGATATTCATTATTATTATTATTATTATTATTATTATTATTACTTTAAACAGAAAAATGCCCTCGAGTGAGTGCATCTTTAGCTCTCAGAAAAAGAAAAAAGAAAATAACTCCCCAGACAAACCAATGTTTGCTCAGACAGTGAATTTTTTTTAATTCTATAGACAAGGTATTCTTCTCACAGGTAAGTGCTTTCCGTACAAGAAAGTCTAAGTTGTGTGTCTGTATCGATTGAAATGTCCTGACAGGCTCATTCTTGTATAGGCAAGGCCTTGGAGAGCATTTGGGATGAATTTTGATTGCAAGGCTGTGTAGCACTTGGCACACCTCACACATTTTCTAAGAAACAGATGTTCTACAAGTTGCTTTTTTGCCAAGTGAGAATTCTTTTCTCCTGCTAAAGTTAATGAGAATGCAAGGCTCAATCRCATAAGGCCTAACACTCTTGAAGCATTTAAAAGCGTTTAAAATTAACAYTCTTAAGCGTTCAAGATGCTGTAAAGAACAACAGGGTCTTCTGTCAGGTCAAAAGCATCAACAGGAAACATWAATTTCTGAGTATTTTTCTGAATTAGTATACTGGCCTTTGGCCTACTCTGTGGCTCCCTGGCATTACCAGAAAGGTCTCGATTAAGTTTGAGATTGATTGTTGTTTTATCAGCATCTACAGAAAGTGGAAGAGGAAAATAATTTAAAAACTGCAGAAATGCAAAATCTTGTGAATGCAGAGAGCAGCATTTGTAGAAATTGTATGTGCTCAGTGAAGAAACACAGTTCTGAGACAGTGCAGACAGTGGCTGATGCAGAAATTGGAAGAGTTTTAGGACTGAGGTGTTTCACATCTGTGGCAGATTATCTGGTATTACACTCCATTAACTCCTGCAGTAAAATGCATTGGGCACATCTATTCCAGAGTGAGCTTAGAGGTTTGGCTCACTTGTTTTCTGGAGGGCATACACAATCTTATAAGTGCACTTGCATGGAGAAGGAATGATGTAATCCTGGGGGGAAAAAAGTGCTTGAAAAGAAAACTGCTTTCTTTGAACTTTCCTCTGTATGGCCAAGTATTGGCAGGGAAGGGAATAAAGGACCAAATATTAACAAATTTTGCAAATGGCTGAAGGTTTTTGATGTCGTTGACTTAAACTGATTMGTATCAAAGACCTTGGCAAGTACTTTGAAATAGCTTTTACTGCAGCTACTCTGCATCAATTTATCTCTGAGATTAAAATAAATTTTTTTTAATTGATTGTTATTTTTCCCTGAAAACKATGTTTTCCAAGGATATTTTTGTTAGTATCTATGTGCTAGCAACAAAAAATCCTAAATAATTAGGAAACTGGATTATAAATAATGATAGAAATCTGAGAAATTTGTTTCAGTGGATTACTTYCTTTGTGATCCATTTTTACAGCTGCTTTCATAGGAGCTTCACCTGAATGTATCCAAGCAACTAAGCAAATTATGTATAGGCACATCTTCAGGGCTACTTAGTCATCCTATGTAACTAATCTTTTCAATTTTAGCTTCTGATGCTTTCTCCTTAACTACTGAAATGTTTAAATTCCCTAATGGAAGCTGCAAATCCTCCTCATATGCTGAAAATGAGGCCTCAGATATTTTCAGTAACAAAAGGCTCAGYGCTAAAACCTTTGCCTTTACTGCCTGGATTGGCAGCCACATAGAAATAAAAATTGGATTTGAGAAAGGTTTTTAAGTTAAAACAAGGAAAAATTGAAAGCTAGTTTCGCTTTGATTAAATAAATGAAGGAAGTGTTTTCTTCCCTCTTACTTTTCCCAGTGCTATATGACATAATTGCAAACAAATGTGGGGAATGCTGGTGAGTCCTGTTGCAGAAACATGAAAAAGAAATGGGCAGCTTCTGTAACTCCAAAACTTGGCAGATTCATATCTACCTGTATTCACAGAGAATGGCCTTTCTGTATATATAAGTGCATGTATCTTAAATTATACTATATTTCAATAATAATTTTAAGGTATTGATTCCTTAAAAAGCCCATTTCTGGCAAGGTAGTGACATCTATGAAACACTTGCCTAAGTTAAATTGATCCTCAAAATTGGGCTTTCTTTTGTAGCTGCTATGTGTTAACATGGTTTCTTGGTGACTCTTCAGGTTTCATCTGTGTCTCTGCTTTCCATTCTGTAAATCCTTGATTTGCAAGGGTTTCCCACCCAACTCTCAACAGGTTCTGGTACAACATTTGCTGGGCAGCAAAAAAGGGRTTGCAGACTTTCAGGACATGCTGTGCAGTAAGCAGGTTTCCTTGATGAAAGCCTGCATGCAAATMGAACGCTACAGGGATTCTGTGCACACACAGGGCTGAGGGGTTGTTGGGTTTGGTTCCTGGTGTAAATCCATCTCACACAGAATTTAAACTAGACTGAAAATGAAAATCCAAAAGTTAGATATGAGCACAGAATGTATTCAACAGAAATAATAATTCCCCTGTAACTGCTGTAGAAAGAATACAGAAAGGGAGTGAAGTTTTTCCATACTCATGCAATTCATGGAGAGTCCCACCCTAGAAAGAGAACAACTGGCTTGATATGAARTATATTCTAATTCAAATTTCAGACCTACTAATGTTTCTTTGTGATCATTTTCCCTGCTTTGTTACTTCACAGCAAAACATAGTCTTGCCTTACTCTGGGCTTTGTGTTTTTAGCTTTATACAGCAGGATGGCAGCTCAAAATGAGATATAAATTCCTCCTATAAAAACTGCACAAGTAAATGCGCACACAAATTTGTGGGTGGGAAGATACCAAGCAATTGTTCATTGCATTTACAATTTCTTTCCTTTCAGTTGGAACTTCAAGAAGCTGAAACTACTCCACTGCCGTGACAGGGTCTCCTGCTGCATGGCTCTCAGAGCAATTGCACGCCACTGCACTGCCCTAGTGTGCTAGTGGGAACATGTAGGATATGCTTTCCCTCAAAAAAAAATACCACAGAGGAAAGTGCCTGCTTTTCCAGTCTGTCAAAAATTGCTTCTGCAGCACATCTACACTGCCCATAACAGAAGCATGAAATGTAAGAGCGAGCAGAGCCAGGAGATGTGGGGCCTTCCAGGCTCCAGTGCTCAAAGCAGTCACGTTTGCCAGGAGTGCACACRTTAGTCTAAAACAAAGCTACTCTGCCTGTAGCAGCCTGACACACTCTTGGTAAGTTACAGTGGTGTTAAAACAGGTTGGAAACAAAAATTCAAAGGCTAGACAACTATAGTTTGGAAAAKAAAGTGTGCTTTTGAGGATGGAAAATAATGAGATATGAAGTCGTAACGCTGTTGGGTACACTCTATTTACTCTTAAAATTCATTTGTAGAGGTRCTTTCTGTGCAGGTTGTTTGCGTGCTGAAGTCTCACGAGGTCATCTAGAATAACRCATTTGTAGTTCAAGAGGTCTTCTCTTACAAGGACTGCATGTTCTGCAGTTTYAAAGGAAAAATATTTTTTCAGTGGTCCCTTGACAAAAAAAAAAATTATAAAACTCCAAGCTTCATCCTCTACTTCTATTTCACATAAAAAAACTTTAAAATCAAAACAATGAGCTATCACTTTTTCTAAAAGAGATGAGTAAATGAAAGTATTCCACATTGTTACTGGTTGTCAAATGAACCCCAAAACAGCATATATTAACATAAATTTTTTTGTGAATAAGAATGTAGCTATGAGCCTGTCAGAGCTTGCACAGGCAGATAATGTCTTCTCTTTCAAGTAGTTTCTTAAATTTCATCTGCTCTGTCAGCAGCATTTTCATTTTGTAAGTAAATGACAGCCTCTATGTGTAGTACTCAGTGCAATTAATGCATTAGACCTTCTTTAAAAAAGAAGTTTAAAATGATTTTGCTAGACATCTATTTTTCTTACCAAACCCACAATATGTTTGCTTTTCTAATTAACACAATACAGTCTGCATCTGCATTTTGTATTAGCTGTTAAACATTAAGATTTCAGGAAKAAGGATTGTACTGCAGTAAATGCCTTCTTAGCTGTTTCTAGTATGAAAAATAGAAATATTCATGTAGATAAGTTGTGGTGCAATAGTATTTTCTATACATTGTTACTTGCTTTGTAAATAAATCATCGTAGCTGACCAGGAGAAAATGTRCTTTGATGAATTTAAGTGTATTCTGAAATACAACTATATGGAACAGGGTTGGGTTTTTTTTTTTTGTCTTTTTCTTTCTGCAGCCAAAATGTATTTCTTATTTTTATTGCTAAAGTCTGTGTAACAATAATATTATAATGTGAAATGGTTTGTTTCTGCCATAGACTGCATAATAAAGATTGAAGACCAAATCCTTGCAAGTTGTAAATGAAAGAATTATTTCAGTTTCATCCTATGTTGCAACTAAATATGTAGCCTTTATATTAGCAGCCTGAATCTAGAAATGACAGAAGTGCCTTAATTTTTTTCTTTTGCTGTTGAAAATTCCACTGTGTTKTCATATGGACTTAGGTTTAATTTTGTGTTAGTTTAGCTCTATCACCTCATAATCATCATTAATGTTTAAACCACAGGCATCACTATTCTAACAGGTTTTGCATCTAATTTTMAACAGCCTCAGATGGGCACTTGGAAGAAGTTGATAAATTGTTTTGCACTACACAGCAGTATTATTTAAATAACAAAACCAGCATAGAATACACCAGATGTAAACACATTAATGTCCTATGACATAATTACTACCTGATGGGTTCAGAGTAGTCTGACATTTTCACATACAACAATCTCAAAAAAWTTTWAAAAGTTGAATGAATATTTAAAAARTCTTAAATGATAGWCAAAAAGCATGTTTAAGTAAACTTAAGATCACAGTTTTCTGAGTAGTCAAAAGTTCAGCTTTCAYAAAATTCACATAATTAATTGAAGCCATTATTTCTTCTCTACTTTGGATGAAGCATACAGGCAAAATACTGTGATCTGCCAGCAGACAGCCAAATATTTTTTAAGGATATTTTCCGCAGTCCAACAATTGAAAAACCCCATTGTAAATATGTTTAGCAGTAATAATGTAGCCTTGATGGTTTAAGGATATGAGGAAGCAAATTTTATTAGCAGAGCATTAGCAAAAAGTAAGAAAAATGTCTTTTTTTTTCAGAAGGCTTGAATGTTCATTAGTAGTGCTTTGCAATAAGTAGCATATTATTACARAACTTCTGTATCTGCATTGTAAACCTTCAATAAAAATGTCTGTGTTTCTTGTGTATTTGCACTCAACCCCACTGTCAATATTTGTGATGAAAACATTAAATAGCACGGATCCCAAGGGACACCATTTGTCACCAAAGTCCATCTGGACACTGAGCCTTGGATCACTACCTTTTGCATGTGCCTGTCCAACCAATTTCTCACCTAATGAACAGTCCACCCATCAAACCCCTATGCCCAATTTAGAGACAAGGATATTGTGGGAGGCCATGTCAAAGGCCTTATGTAAGTCCACACAGATGACATCCACGGCCCCTCTCTCATCCACTGATGCAGTCACTCCATCCTAGAAGCCCACAAGCTTGGTCAGGCTGGATTTGCCTTGGTGAAGCCATACTGGCTGTCCCAAATCACCTCCCCATCCTCTGTGTGCCTTGGCAAAACTTCYGRGAGTTCCTTGATTTTCCCAGWYACAGAGATGAGGCTGATGTGTTGGYAGTTCCCAGGAGCCTCCTTCCTACTCATTCTAAAGRCAGGTGCAATGTTTCCCTTTTTCCAGTCACCTGGGACTGACTACGCCTGACTGCCATGACTTTCCAAATATAGCGGAGAATGTCTTGGCAACTACATCAGYCCATTCCCTGTTTACTTCCAGGAGTCTCAGGAGAAGGGAAAAGGAAAATTGAAGAGATTTTCTATATAAATGTCCCCTCTGACAAGAGGTGCTTGATCCTGGAGCTGACATTTTCCACTGCAGAGGCAGACTCTGTGAACCCAAAGCTCTTTCTGTGAGCTTGCCTTTCCTGAAGCTGGAATGCAGCTGAGTGGAATTGCAGATGTTTCAGCAGAGGAAATGCACATCTGAGCTGGCTTTGAGCTGACTTGTGCCAGTTCACTCAGCTGACAAAGAGGGGGTACAGTTCACCAGCTGAACTCCCTGTCTTTTTTACTTTATTGTTATTAAAGGTAAGGCAGCATGAGTAGGCTTACCTAGTGCTACAGGCATCTGATCCTTATTTTGAGTAATGGGATGAAACCTTAGGAATCGACATCATGCCTTTCCATATATCCAAATTGATAAAAAAATAGGGCACTTACAGCAGGTTGTGTCATGGGCAAAACAGAGGCAACTAATTCTTAYTAATTAACACAAAGTTTTCATAAGGATTCTGGTAATAAGAAAAAAACTCTAAACCAACTCTGTGCCAGCTGCATTGGTAAAAATACTACTTTGGTGGCCTCCAGTGGGCACCTGCCACAGGGTGGGCTGCTTGCAGACACAGACCTTTGGAGGGTGTCCCTGTCCTTCYGAATTCTTTTTCACAGTTTTGGTGTGTTGGGGCTTTTTTTATCAGAAAAATTTTCTGTATAAGGTCAGTGTTTTGSCAAATTTACACAAAAACTGATTAGCTCTGATTTTCCAAAATTCAATATTTTTTTTTCAGTGACCTGCTTCTGAGTTACTTGATTTTCTCAAAACTAAGTTTTTTTAAGACCATGTTCTCTTGAAAGCCATTTTGTACAAACAAACTGAAAGACCTTCTTTCAGTTTTTGCTTTGTCTCAAACATTTTCTTCAACATATAGGCTCAAAGTGATAACTTTGGTGGCAGGACTCTTAACTGCCTGGAAAATTTATCATCTGGGAATTGCCAGTACTAAAAACTCCAAAGCAGGTGATAAGATCAACATTTTACTTTCCACTGGTATCCAGTTCCTAATTTGACCAGCTGCTGTTTCTCCTGATCTTTTTAAACTTCTCTCTTGTTTAGTGCTTCCATCTACTACATTTTGGCAAACAAAGTGAAGTCAAAAGTGCTTGGGCTTTCATATATTTTTGGGTGAACTTTTTACCTGACCACAATCATATTCTTCTTCCCCCCCCCCCCTCAGAAAAACGAAAAAAAAATTATTTTCTTTTGAATTTTTCAAAGAAGCAAGTTATTTGTGAATAAGGTGCAGTTCAGTTCAGTATAATCTGAATTCTCTCTCACTGCTTACCAATTTTGTGAAAGTACGTATTCAACCTCTTATATTAAATGTTTGCTTGGTTTACTCAATAGCACAGAGATGATTCAGGCTGTTCAAATTTAATTGCTTTTTTTTGTATTCCTTCATTGGGATATTTTCTCGTATGTGGTGTTCCGGAGAGCAGAAGACAAAAGAACAGGGAACAGGCAGGCTCCAGGCATACACTGTTCACATTTAAATGATGCATCAAGTTGTTTTACATATCAATTTACTATCACAGTCTCTTTCTGTAAATATATATTTTTTTTTTTATTTTTCTCTTGTAATGGTGTCAGTAGGAAGCATTAGAATAACTCATTCTTCCCTGAGTCTTGTACCTTGAATCAGACAGATAAATACAACCTGGTAGATCCAAACATGATAAATGACTCTGATCATAAAGGCAGACAAAACTTCTTGCTCTGAAAGATTTACAAATCAAGATAGCTTCCATGTATCATCATGCAGTTAGATAAAGAAAGAGAATGGTAGCATCATAACACTGACTAAAACAGTGGTTATTATACAATGCTTATGAGGTTATTATTTTCAAGAGAGGATGAGCTCAGACCATAACAAAGTATCAGTTTATGATGGATCAGTGGTTCATGCATTGACATTAATTCTTGGTAATGGAGAAGCTGAATATCATCACCAGATGAACTCTGAATGGGAGGCCTCCCATTGGTGTTCCTAATAACTATAACCTCCCCCTGTGCTGATTGTCTCCGGCTTAATGCAGTTCATTACAGAGCAACAGAAGACTAATCTTTTTTAAGCATTTGATGCAGCATTTATGTTGCCTTTTACACTGCCATCATTCTCTCTGTAATTTGGTTTGAATGTGGGATAATTGTAAGAAATCTTTTCTTCTCTTCCAAGAAAACCATGCACTAGATGTGGCAGAGAAACCCCATGTTAATTTTTTGAAAGCAGAAGCAGCAGTTGAATTACACATGTGACTGTACACACCACCTGTACCTCTGTCTACTGGTTGAGCTGAAGTGGTGTAACGGTTTCAGATAATGTTTTCAGAGAAAAAATGTTACAGGGTAAATGTCTCCTCTGAAGTGAAAAATTTGATAATTTTTCCCAYCAACATGAAATAGATGTTTGGGCAAAAGTGAAGAGAAAAATAAAGCACTTTATTAACAAAACASGGTGCCCACAGGACACAGATAAAAAGTAACAGTTAGATATTTAAAAGTCCGGGAACGCAYGCTGCTCCCTCCCCCACAGCCGCTCGGCCACATGGTGTGGAGAAAGATGGCGTGGCTCTTGTCCTAGGGGGAAAAAAAAAAAAGAAGCCAAAGAAAAAGTCCACGTGGCTGCTCGGGCAGCAGTGGCAACCTTCTGGCTGTCCTCTCTGTAAATGAAACAGAGGGCTTGGTGTGCTTTTCTGTCACCCGCTTGGCTTCTTCCGGAGTCTGGGACGAAACAGAGCGGCACCACTTCTCCCCACCGGCCACCTAACTGCTCCAGAAGAAAAATCACAGGAGCTGCAGAGGGGGTGGCGTCCAGGGAAAGCTGTTTGCCCAAGCTAACAAACCCGAGCTAGCTAAACGGCAACAAYGTAACTCCACTGCATGCAGCGAGCAGGACCTCCTGTGCACAGATCTGAGCTCCAAAAGCCCTCAGCAGTGTGGGAGCCCCGGCTTTTTAAACTCCCCACACTGCCTTCCCAGCCACCTCTGCCCCTTCTTCCAGGTCACATTTAAAGGCACAGACATCTTTTGGGCATACAAGTTGATGGAATATAGGAATATAGGATTGGCACAAAATCAACCCTAGACAAGTGGAATCACAGAATCATAGAATCACTTAGGTTGGAAAAGACCTCTATGATCATCAAGTCCAGCTATTAACCCAGCACTGGCAAGCCCACATCTTTAAGGGCTGCATCTACACATCTAAATACCTCCAGGTATCAGAACTCAACCACTTCCCTGGGCAGCCCATTCCAATGCTTGACAAGCCTTTCCATGAAGAAAGTTCTCCTAATACCCAATCTAAACCTCTTYTGGTGCAACTTGAGGCCACATCATCCCATCACTTTTTACCTGAGAGAATACACCAGCCCTCACCTGGTCACAGCCTCCTTTCAGGCAGATGTAGGGAGTGATAAGGTCTCCTGTGAGCCTCCTTTTCTTCAGGCTAAACACCCCCAGCTCCCTCACTGGTAGGTGAGCTGGAAGTTTCAGTCCTTTAATAGCAAGGGGTCTTTAAACAGGAAAGGAATTCCCATCAGTAGGAAGTGAGCAATGGCAAATTCAGATGGCTCCCCTTTGAAAACATGTACTAGAGATGATTTAGAAGTATCAGGAAGGTGTAAAGGAATTTCAACCAACTGAGTCAAGAATACCCTCCCTCCCCACTGTTCTTAAAACAAAACATCATGCATTGGGACTACTTGAGCTGGATAAAAGACTAGCAGAATGCTTCTGTAGAATGAAAAGAAGGTTGTAGCATTTGGGTTTGGTTTTCAAATCTCTGGATTGGTGAATTCGCCTGTGAGGAGTGAATGAAACACCATCTAAAGAAATCCTCACAGTGCTTTGGTTTAAAAGTACAGGTCACTTCTAGCAGTAGATTTTATGTAATGATGCCAAAACTTCAGCAAGTCTCTTACAAGCCCTAAACGAACAGATGTCCATAAAATACATAGAAGTATAGAGAAGAARTGAGTGAGAAGAAGAAAACAAACAGTAGAAGAAAATTTACCATGCAGGAAAATTCAGTGAAATCAGTATTACCTGTAATGGAGTAAAACTGAGGCCAAATTTTAAATGTCACATAGGTGGTTATCTCCACAGGCTGCCTTACTAAGGTTTTCCCTTTCCACTCCCCCACCCCTTTTCCTTTAACATCACTGCCTCTGCTTTGTATTTGCTGTTTTTACCTTCTGTCTGGTGTAAGTTCAGTGAAACTACTG